TTTAAAAACATTTCACCCATTCAATTGAATCCATACCCCCACACCGCAAAAGCCTCTCTCCCAAAAATCCTAACAAAATATATGAAGGTGATTGTTATTTCATCTCCACATATTTGTTCATGACCTGAGAAAATAAATGTAGAATTTTTTGATGTTGATTCAAAATTTCCCTTTGTAGGTTCTGCGATCTCCACGAGTTTCAATTATCTATTCCCGAACAAATAAGAAATGTTCGATTACCTGTTCCCAAACAAATGAACAATGTTCCGGCCTATATTCCAAAATTTTGATCATATATTTGGGAGATCAGTCTCAGAAAAATGACGAAGATTTTTTATTATTTTTGTCATTTTTTTCAAGAAACTTACTCTTACAAGGTCAATCTCCTCTGAGCTAAGAACACCATCAAAGTTATGAATCTCCTCTGAGTTTTTATTGTTGTACTCCTCTCATCTCATGGAGTTGTGGTTGCCAGAAAAACTTCCACTCATTGTCATTGTCGGATAAACGTAGGTAATTAAATGGTTGCGACTGCCACCGCCACCGCCAAAATATTGTCGCCAAAGGGTTTTCGAAGTTTTGAGGGTGGTAGGTTTTGAAGGTCAAATTTAGGGAAGATAGATAGATGGTGATGGAGATGGAGATGGTTGCTCTTATAAACCCTAACTCATGATGTAGTGAGTGTGTGGGCTTTATTGTAAGGTGAGGTATTCTAAAATTATTAATGTCCTTTTTAGTAATTTTATTTAAGGTTATTATTGTAATATATATATATATAAAAGGGCTAAAAAATGCGGTTCCAAAATAATTGATGGGGTGCTAATAGCAACACTCTAAGCGGTGCTAAAAGTCAATTTAGTTCCTAACGCCTCTTAAAGGCTTTGCCACAACTGAACAGTAAAACGAAGGTCTCTATTTGAGACAATGGTCTCTAGTACCCCATGAAACCAAACTATATCTCTTCTGTATAACTCTTCCAAATAATCAACTGAGCCACCCGTGTGTATAGAAATGAAGTGTGTAGACTTAGTTAACATATCAACAATTACACAAACGACATCGTTATCCCGTTGTGCTCTCGGAAGCCCAACCACAAAATCCATAGTAATATGCTCCCATATTCACTCGACTATAGATAGGGATTGTAACCTGTTGGTTTTTGGTGCTCGGCCTTCACTTATTAACAAGTAAGGAAATTCGATGCAAACAAAGTTATATATCATTTCATACCCCTCTACCAAAATTGACGACTAAGATCATGGTACATTTTAGTGCCTCTCGGGTGCACCGCAAGACACGAATAATGAAACTCCCAGAGTACTTTCTCTTTACAAGACTCCAGCACAAACAAGCGGTCTAAGTACCTCACACTCGAGTCTGAGTGAATATTCAAGCCTATCTCATCTTTCCCGTTGGTGATTCTCTCAAGGATTTCCTCCACCTCCTGGTTCCCCCGTTATGATTCTAAAACTTTTGCTAATCAAGGTGGGTTGTGCAATCATGGTGAACAAGGTAGCGCCCTCATTAGACTTCCCAAGATGCAAGTCAAACTCACCGATATCACCCAACATTTCCCATTCTCTAACAGCAACACTTGCCAAGTTGCTCATGGACATCTGACTCAAGGTATCCCCCACAACATTGGCCTTCCCCGGGTGGTAATGTAACTCAAAGTCATAGTTTTCCATAAACTCCATCCACCTCCTCTGATGCAACTTCAAATCTTTTTTAGAGAATAGATGTTTAAGACTCTTGTCATCAAAAAAGACTTCAAACTTCTCACCATATAAATAATGTCTCTAAATCTAAAGTGTAAAAATCACAGTCGCTAGCTCTAAGCCATAGGTAAGATAATTATTCTCATGGTTTTCCAGTTGGCACGAACCATATGTTACAACTTTTCCCTCTTGTGTCAACACACAATCAAGCCCATCCTGAGATGCATCACAATGAATCATGTAGCCCCAACCTCTTTTTGGAATTATCAAAATCGGTGCAGTAGTCAATCTAGTCTTAAGCTCTTGAAATGATTTCTCACAAGTCTCACACCATACAAATTTATTGCATTTCCTCGTCAATCTAGTCAATGGTGTAGCTAGTCTAGAAAAGTTCCTCGCAAAACAAAAATAATACCCGACTAACCTCAAGAAACTACGGATTTCAAAAATATTTTTAGATTGTTCACAATCTTGCACAACATCTATCTTAGAAGAATCTACTGTTACTTATTCCCACGACGACGTGGCCTAGAAATTTCACTTTCGAAAGCAGAATTCACATTTCCCGAACTTAACAAACAGTTTGTGCACCCTAAGTAAATCAAATACTACCCATAAGTGTTTCTCGTGTTCCTCATTGAAGGGTGAGTAGATCAAGATGTCATCCACAAAGACAACCACAAATTGGTCCAAGAATTCCCAAAAAATCAATTTCATCAAGTCTATAAAAAAAGCTGGTGTGTTGGTCAAACCAATAGGCATAACTAAGAACTCATAGTGGCCGTAACGCATACGAAAGGCCGTTTTCTGGATATCTTCCTCCTTCGCCCTCAATTGGTAGTATCCCCGATCTCAAATCAATGAAGAATTCAATCTCTCAGTGTGGTGGTAACTTAGTGAGGTCTTCCAGAAAGACGTCCGGGTACTTGTGAACTACTCCCGACAAGTCACCTCGAACTATGCTAAAATCATCGGCTAGGGAGATGGTAAAAAGAAAACTAAGTTCTTCTCAACCCCTAAGATCATACAAAGATGGAATGAGGTTGTCACCTTGGTCACATAAGAAGTAAAAGTAGTCCTCGGTTGGTGTACATACTAACACTTTTCTACGTTAGCAATCTATCATAGCTCATAAGTGAGTCAATCAATCCATACCCAAAATAACATCAAATTTGCGCATATCTAGAATGATGAAGTCAAAAGAAAGTCTAACTAATCAATATCCATGAGGAACATACTCGCCCTAATACCACCATAACCCTAACCCTAACCCTAACCCTAACCCTAACCGGTGACTCAACTAATAATGAAGACTCTGACTAATCAATCTACAACCCCAAAGCAGATGCAAAAGGAGAAGATATGAAGGAATGTAACACACCCATATCAATCAACAAACTAGCCAATGAATTGCACATAAGGAAATTACCTCCCATAACAGATGGCCCTTGCAATTGGTCTAATGCAGTAACAGTGTACACAAGTGTCGTTGGTCTCTAGTTGACCTGTTCACCCATCAAGGCATAGGACTACTGCACAAATTAAGTCGAAGCAGCTCCTTGAATAGCTCTAGTGGCTTGAACTAAATGAGCCGAATGATGGCTCTGAGTTTGTCTCTGCCCTGATGTGCTCCCCAACTATGGATACGCATTTCTCAGATGCCTCGACTGTCCACACTAGAAACAAGCAAGCATCTGTTCCCTACTCTGGGTCTAACTCTATGTACGTGCCTAAGACGGTAGTGGTTGTTGCCCTCTCCCTTTCTGTGGACAAACGTTGGCCTTGTGGCCCAATTGGCTACACTTAAAGCAAGTGAATCCACCTTGTGTGCTCCTTCCAAATCTAGCACTAGGCACAAGGAAAGTAGATCTGAACGGTTGTAGAACCCCTCTATTTCTTGTTGCCTCTAAAGTCCATCTGTGACTCTGACATCCTCTGCCTCTCTTCTTCAATCTAGAGCCACTGTCTCTACATATGCCACTGTCTCTACAAGGTGGTCGTAGTCCCAGATCATGTTCCCAACAACCTTGAATAGAATCTTGGTTCTCAACCTCTTCTTGAATTCTATGCAACAGTATTCCTCCGTTGCCACAAACTCCGGTGCAAACCAAGACAAGTTAGTGAAAGCTGCTTCAAACTCGACCACCTACATGTTTAACTGGTTTAGCTTCTCGAACTCTTTCCTAAGTTTCTCCCTACCAGTGGGAAGTAGGTACTTATCCTGGAAGGCAATAACAAATGTTTCCCAAGTCGCTTCAATTTGGCCCTTGGCATACTTTTACCACTAGCTCACATCCCTTTTGAGTTGATAACTCACTAGGGTCACTTGAAGCTCCCCATCATCAATGTGAAGCATCTTGAAAGTCTTCACCATTTACTTGAGCCATTCATCCACTTTCTTTTCGCTCCATACCACCATAAAACTCTTCCAGTTTTGCCCACAAAAACTCTTAAGGAAGAAAACATGCTCTTGTCTTTACAATGTTCTCTTGAGCTTGGTTCTCTACCCTCAAGATATTCATGGACTCTCAAACCTCCCAACATTTCTCGAGCTAGAGCACCCATTGTGCCTTGGCCTGCTTGCCTGGGTACCTCGGTCTCTCGCACTTGTTTGTCCACATTAGCTTGGCCATACCCCTCATATTGTTCCAGAACTTTCTCCTAAACCGGCACCTCGTGAACATTTTGGCGAGGTCTACCATGCCTTCCACCTCCACATTATCTTCCTGATATCCTATTTGAGGACAAAAGTGAACAAATTTAGCACACAAGTACACATGCGCTATAGACCGAGTCTCACATGTCTTATCACAACAATTATCCCCAAAAAAAAAAAAATTCATTCCACATAAGCACTTGCTCACATAATCACATACGGACTACACCCTTAAGATGATATTTGTTCCACGAAATTTCAAGAATTCCTATCAGAATGAGCATTGATTAGGTATCCTTCTAATAAGACTTCAAGGAATCTAACAGACACAAATAACATCCTAAAAGTTCAATCGCATACCCACTTAGTCACATAAGCATGTTATCACATAACACATAAAACATGAAACATTTTTCCTAATTAGCTAGTGGACCCATTGTGGTAAAACCACTTCCTGCGAACCCCAAGGATTCAAACTCGATAGCTTTGATACCAAGTTATAACGCTGTTAAAATATTGACATCCGATAAGCTTAAAGATACACAATATTGAGCTTCAAAATAATTCGCCTATCATTCATGATATTAAAACAAATATACATTCATGATCCCTATGACATGAATCTATAGCATCTAATAGAAAAGTGATTAAATTAACTTAAATACAAGATAATGCAATGTCTATAAATTCCAAGACTTTGTCTGGTTACAACAAAAATTGTTCTTATGAACCCATACATATTAGCCATTGGCATGTACAACAAAACAAAGAAAGATAGAGCCTCATGCTCCCAAAAGATCCTCCATGTCATCACCTCGGCGGAGGCACACCGTCATCACCTGAAAATGGTTTCCACTAAAGAATGAGCTCAAGGCCCAACAAAGATAATCTAAATAAAGTGCATGAAACATAACAATGTCATGAGATGCAATGCATATGTTATGCCATTGACAAAAAACAAATTTTTCCTCTCTTTGAAAGTTTAGATTCCATGCACCTCAATTAATAAGCAACATCAAAATCAAGATCGTTTGATAAGTTCTCGGGTGGTAAATACAACATTGGAAATCTCCAAACAAGATGTCTACAAGTAGGCCCCTCGAGGTACTACCAAAACCCACCTTACCAACTCCTAACCATAAAGAATGTGGTAACCTAGCCCGCACGTATTTTTGATCTTTCATCATGGACCTTTAGGCCATCTTAGTTCTCAAACTACATCCCCTACCAAATTTCACCGAGTATTTACCCCCATTCTCATCACTCTTCAAATATTCCCAATGAATCAATTTAAAAATAATCTCAAATCTAATGCGAGGATTAAATCATGAAATTATGCAATGTTCAATGTTATGCATGAATTTGAAAATATTTCAATTTACCTAGTTTGCATGTAAGTTCTACAACGACCAACACAACCCTCCATCAGTTGCCATAAAAATTATCTCGATACAAAATGTAAATTTTAAAAGACAATTATAGCTCATAATATCATACATTCAATCAATTCAACATAGGAGTAACAATCATATGTTCAACATCCTCTTTCTCTATTTGGTCAAAAAACATAATATTCTTTTCAAAGAGTCCTCCAATCACTTTTCTTTTCAAATTAAAGAATTTAGCAAAAATTTCCATAAAGTTCAAATGGCATGTGCTTTCCATCACATTTCTCAATATCCCAACAATTCCAAGAGTCTAAGGTTTTCTCAAAATTAGGAATTTTTCATTTTGGAAGAAAAATTTCTCAAAACCCATGTGCTATATAACAAGTAAGGTCTAAAGATTTAAAACATTAGGAAACCATGAGAGTTACCCCATTTTTCTACATAAGTAGTACTTTATCAAAACTTTAATCTCATTAATTGGTAAACTACCAAAATAGCACATAATAAAGCTAAATAACATACACAATATTTAGAAAATTCCTACATCAAGCTGTAGAAAAGAGACAGAGAGAGAAGAGAAAAGCCAAAAAATCAATGGTGTTGAAATCTGATCTCCACTGCACAAAGTATAGCTCTCTAAATGAGCTCTCCAAGATTTCCCAAAGGACTAGGGTCAAGAAATCAATAGATTTTGCTAGATCAAGAGAAGAAGTGGGCTTTTTCTAGTAGTATGTAAAGCGAGATGAGAGAAAAGAGCGAAGATGACATGTAGAGAGATGTGTAAAAAGTGGAGAAAATAGAATTTTAGAATTAGATTTCGAGTGAAAAAAGTCCAAAATTCGAGCCAAAAATGCCTAATCCCGCACATGCAGAGCTCTAGACCGCACGTATAGCGACACCCAGAGGTCAAACTCAGTCTTCCTTTCTGCACACGCTCTACACCTATGTCTCACCTCCCCGCTGCATGTGTAAAAATTCCCTCCCAGAAACCTGGTTTTCCACTACAAGGTTCCACACGTGCAGTCTCTTCTACTACACGTGCAGAGTGCCTGTTGGGCAAAATTTTCACTAAGGCAATTCACACTCCCCCGTTTCATTCTATTGCTCAAATTTCGAAAATTACAACTGTAGCTCGACTTTCTTCGCGGCCCCTTTCGAAGAGCTCGAATTGGTCCTACAGTTCAAACTCCTGTCACGGTTTTGAATCTAGTTTCACAAGTGCAATGTGAAACTAATAAACACCAAGGAGTCCAATCCGGCAAATCATTTTGGAAAATCAATTTCGAATCAAATAATGTCAAAACTGGACTGCTTTGCCAGATTACAAAGTCGCCACCTAAATATTTTATTTTTGAAAAATTTAGAAAACCCTGACTCGTGCCAAAGGCCACGTGTACATCATCATCAAAGTTGCCTCGGCTCGGGAACTTGGGCACGAGAGGGGAAGGTCCTGAAATGAGCACCCCCGCTCGCCCGATCAAAGATCGGCCTCTACTAAATATGATATGTTGTTTTATAAACCTCATGTGTTCTTATTCCGGTTATTAACTAACATTACTATGTGATGCACACAAGCAAGCATAGACTAAATCGCAAGAATTAGAACGAATTCAACTCGTGTTTGCTTTCATAAATGGTTTGAATTTGCCACCCTCAAGTGGGCTAAAACACGGATTTGCCACCTCAAGTGGGCTTAAAACATGATTTGCCACTTCACAAAGTGGGCTTAAAACTCACACTCGTTGAATTGTCCCAATTCAAGTAACAAAGCCTTCATCTACAGGCATTCATGTAGTTTAGGCACATAGCCTCATGGTAAGCATGCTATCATGGCAACACTCACACTCATGCAAGTATGCTAAAGCGTAAAAGCTTACCAAGTACTCTAAGCCAAAACAAAAGCTAGATTAGTTAGAAAGATGCATGATCCTAACTATGTTAAATGACAAATGCAACACATGCAATAATGCAATTAATAGGCTCGGCTACTAATATGGCATATGATACAATTTGATAACATGCTTTGAAACACATATTCAAATAAGTATTGAATTTGCAATGCAGTTTGAATGATGCGCCGAGCCTCGATGCATGCAAGACAAATGAATGATGCAAACATGCAAACATAAGGTATGCTAATCGAAATATGGCCCTAAGCTAACCATCAAAAGCGGCTAAATAAAAGAGAAAAGGACGTGGGGTTGGAAAACATGCACACACGCACGCACACTTATTACAACATTGCGCCCTCGCGAAGGAGGGTCCGAATGAGTAAGCTAACTAGCTACGCTAATTAAGCTAAGCTATTACAAACCAAAACTAATTAACTATTCTAGCTAATTAATTATTACAAACCATTTGAATAACTAGCTATGCTAAGCTAATTAAAGCAATTAAACTAATTAGCTGTCTAAGCTAATTAAATAATTACAACACTTAACACTTATATGAATAAAGCGAATAAATGGCTTCAGGGCGAGGGATACATGCATGCTCGGTTGCTCCACCCGAAAATGCCATTGCCTTGCTATCGGATGCCTCTGTTTACACTCATTTGATCTTAGAAAATTGCACCAACTTCCAGATTGTCTCTGCTCCAACATAGGAACTCACTTGTGCAAAAATTCACTGGTGGCTAGTCCACTACAAAAAATGATTGTCGGCCACTTTAACTGGCCGGTCGGCTACCTCAAGTGGCCGGTTGGCTACTTCAAGTGGCCGGCCGGCCTCCCCCTTTTCTGGACTTCTTCTTTTGCTGCAACAGAGAGCAAACAGAGGCAAAACAAGGCATTTTCAAGAAATATATGTACTGCTACCCTTCTTATCATCTCTCAAGTTCAAAGGAGTGTAGCTCTTAGCTCTCAAGCCATCAACTAAGCATTTTCAATGCATCATGGCCAAAGAACCAAGCTTGTACTAGGTCAATGAATGCACAAATAAGACTTTTTCATCACTTTTCATCACTTTTTCCATGCATGATCAAGGGTGTCGGTGACCAAAAAAAGTGGCACTTTTCATCACTTTTTCCATTTTTCTTGTGTTTGTATTAACATCCGATCCAAACACGTACAATGCAACACAAATATGCTTATCTTGCTCGAGCTTTACTTGGTTCATTTTGTTTACACATTTTACATTACTGATTAGTCCTTTAACCGATTAAGTCCAAAGTGAGAGTCCTCTAATTGGAAAGAGGGCTTAAGCCACAAGTACCTTGAGTATGAAAGAGGCCTCATGCTATTAGTTAGTAGAAACCCTCAAGAGAGGATTAAAACCATTAGGCATGAGAGCCTCAATTTCACACTCAAGCCAACAAGGGGCTCACGGCCACTTTCAAAACAAAGTAAAAAGTGAAGAGTTGTGACGCCCCAAAAGTTGGGAACATCAGATAATCTATTAACCATTAAATACAGGGTTTATCTAAGGTTACAAAAGTAGGAAACGTCACTAATGAGTCCTTTGGCTAATAAAAAAGCAAGATCCCAGGAATGTCGGAGGAGTCAAAATAGCCTCCCTTCTAAGTCCAACCACCTTAGATAGCAAAGCTACCTTTTTTACAGATCTTAGCAAGGTATTAACACAAGGCCTACATGAGTTGACGGAGTATAAGGATAGGTTACAAATGTTATATATATACAAATTACAAAATCATATCTTAAATACAATATGGGTTCTATCACTTACAATCTCAAAACACGTTTAACATAACTAGTTCGTAACTCTCATAGGATAGACATACGTCCTTAAATACTTCGGCTTTGCCTTCGACCAGCCTAATAGTCTTCAATACCTAACATGAAACGCCGTGAGCTTTGAATGCCCAGTAAACACACGCACACCCCGTCCCTTTTTCCCAATCCAATACACCATCACATTTATAGCAAGTAAGTAGTGAAGCATGATATTCAAGTCAATAACGGCAATTACAATAATAGAGGAAAAGAACATGTCATTCAAATAGATAACAAAAGTTATAATGTTAGTGGTTAGCATTCTAGAAATCTCCCAAAGAGATTTCATTCTTCCAACCATAAGAATTGGACACCGGACTATTCGGAACTCCCCCTTTTGCTGCTTTGTTGCAGAACTAACCTCGGATGCCTACCAACGGTTATATACCGCGTAGCGCCAACTACAGGGCCTCAAAAGGGACAGCGAAAAGAAAAAGGTTTTATCTCCTGAATCCAACCTTATACTTCCAAAAAAGTTTTATCCTCCTGAATGTCCCATCCGGACCCAACCTTATCTCACCAATCAAACCATTGCAAAGAGTCCGAATACGTACGTTCCATTCTAGGGTTTACGCGACAAACGCTTGCGCAAGACTTAACCTTCAATTAGGGAGCACATCCCATCAATCCATACATAACACATTATCATTACTTCATTATTCAAGTGATCGAAAACCCAATACCATCCCAATTAAGTTTTCGTTTGGATCAATGTTTTAA